GCCGTTTCCCGAAGATTCAGAATCTCCTCAACTTTTTCTCGATAAATGATTTGTTGCCTTCGGACTCGATCCAGTTGCTCCTGCCATATCTCTTGCATTTCACTCTGCATTCCGTCGAGTGCTGCCGAATGCATCCCAAGACTTGCTTCGATCTTTTTACACCTTTAAAAAAGTCACTGATATCATTATGACCTTGAAAAAATATTCTTACATTTTGACAAGTTTCTCCACATCCTCTTTCTCAATGATACATCTTCGAATGGTCAAATCTCTTTGTGTCTCAAGAACTTGTTGACTGATAGACGATAGCTCAACAACCAACTGACGCAAAGGATCTGGAAAGGGGAAAGATCGCAAAATAAGATTACAAACATGCCATCCATCTTACGTTCTACTTTTCCAAATAGCTGCCCAAATGCTCCAGCCAAATCAATTGTGGTTTGGAATTTTGAAAGCATGGATAACGCTTTATGAGAACCGGATCCTCTTTTATACGAATTCGACGAACTTCCTTCTCGTGAAACACTGATTGGACACCAAGCAGCAGACATTCCAAGATATGGCTCCAAAGATTTTGCTAAATCTGATCGGACTTCGATACTATCCGGAGTGGAAGATACTGGAAGTTTGTCAACTGTTTTGTCTAATAGAACACTGATTCGTTTTTGAAGTTGAGGACAAAGTTGAAGGACGTCGAGTTTCGAGGCAGTTGTGCATAGAATTTGAGCAGAGAATAGGCAAAGACGAACGGGTCCCTAAATTTGCGGCTTTTTATTTTTTCAAAGTCAAATATCAATCTCACCATGACCGCTTCGATCTCCTTGATTTGTCGTTTGCATTGCTCATCACTCTGTTCCTGTTGCTTCACCAATTCTTTTGCTAATGTTTCTCTAGTGGTCATGACAGTATCAATTATTTGTTGGCACAATTGATATAATGAAGTTTTAGCGTCATCGAAATTAGAAGCTTTTCGTCCAGAATCCTTTGTCTGACATTCAATTCTTCTTGTCTCTCGGACTGATAAAATCGTAACTTTGCAGCCGATTGCTCAATTTTCTCCAAACACATTCGATGTCCTTGTTCGATGGAAATGAAACTGTGACGTTCTTCCAAAGGTCTTCCATTGAAACATTGAATACATACCAACTTTCGAACATCAGAACAGTATAGAATATAGGGTTCATTGTGATCCTTACACAGAGAAGAACTGTACACTTTGCTCCGCTCCTCAGAACTGATTATTTTGTGGGACGAAAACATGCGAGCTTGATGAGTCACGTTTCGACAAGCTAGACACAATGATTGTTGACATGTTTCACAGTAAAACATTGGAAGCGTGATCTGAAAGATATTGGTCATACCAATTTTGATATCAGAAAATCTCACCTGTTCACAATTTGCACATTGTTCCATTTCTTCTTTTGAGGCATCTAGCAGAAAGGCAGCCAGCTTATCTGGTTGTGGTGTGTGACTCCTTGATGTAGATGGTCCAGGTGAACAAGTTTTGCAACTTGGAGATCCATTTGAACATTTTCTACATGTTGTATGCTGGCAACTGAATAAAATCGGCTCTTCGAAATCCTCAAATTTCATATTTATCTCGATTCTATTTTTGATAAAACTCACATTTTTGCAGATCGTACATCGTAAAGGATTCTCTTCCATTTTATGATATTAACCGGGAGCACCGGCACTCACACAAAATAAAAAGCGAAAAGGAAACACACACGGACAATAAAGAAATTACACTGGGAAGGAGAAGAAGGAGAAGGAGATGAGAAAGTCGGGGAAGTAAGAAATATAATTTTGGGAAGAGAGTCGTGAGAAATAGACAACCCGCACGGGAAGAAAAAGAAAAAGAGAAACAGACCAGAAATCGATTGGAGAGCACCTTCTTGACAATCGTGTGATAATATAGAAACGGGAACTTGTCATTCAGTTTGCCAATATTTGCTTATCACAAAGAAGTAAACGTTTTGCTACTCACCTTAAGAAACCAACTGGGTTCGCCTAGAGGTTTCAGACAGCAAAGATAACGCCCTACGGGACATGAATCCTAGAACCTTTGCATCAAATAATAATGTCGGAATTATAAAACTGTCAGCTGCGTGTTTGCAGACCCAGTGCAAAACACCCTAATTCTTGTACTGAGTCTGCAAACACGGACTGACACTTTTTTTCTAACAATTTGAAACCTCAGAAAAATTTATGCTGGTACTAAAAAATCGGAGATATGGACTAGAAACGCCGGTGGCCGTGGTCGAAGGTCTGCCGTAACCTCAAAAATATTGTTATTTTCATGCTTCATTTCCTAGAATTCCATGAAAATAACAGAAAAAATACAACGAAAACCAGTGAAAAAGAAATAAATCCGGAAAATCAAAATACTTTTAGGTTACTGTAGCTATCATTGTGGGCCCTTCTTCCACTTCCACCAGCGTTTCTCGTCCACATTTATGATTTTTCAACCAGTATAATAAGACCGAATTCTCCGACTATAATCGCACTTGGTGGTACAATTTATACCCAATTTAAGTTTGGTTTCTTTATTTCGATTCTGAACACAACTAACTATAAAATATTTTCATACGAAAAATAATTTCCAATCAAAAGCTACAATTTGTGACAAAAACTTCGAACGATTTCGACTCTCCTTGTCATCTGATTCAAAAAAAACCAGAATTTTTTATTACCGAATTTCGCTCTTTGTCTACAGGAAAAAATTAAAATTTTTTTTTCAAAATCCTTATTCAAAACCAACCTCTTTCCTCTCTCAACGCGCCTTCCTCCCTTCTCACTGCAAGGAAAAGGAGGTGGAGTCACAGCACACACAAAGTATAGCGGGCGGCGGAACCCGGGAAGTGTCGGCTGCTGCGCGTGGTTAGGTCTGGACGGCGCACCGTTTTCATCGAGACCATACTATACAGAATCATTTCTGCAGTATGTATCTCGTAATTCCCATCAAATTGGTAGAGATGCCATCCGCGATGAATGGGAGACGGGCTTGCCGCGAGCGTGAAACAGTTCTTCGGAACTTGATGACCGCACGGAGCCGATTCATTTTGGAGCCGTAGTGGCTAGCTCTTCTGAGCGGATATAAGTAAATTTAGAACTACACGCTCTCCCACAGAACAATTCCGAACTGCAAATTAATTTTTGATCTACAGAAAAAGTTTGGCGCGATCACAATTGCAGGTCTAAAACCATAATTTCAGAATTTTTTATCTGATTTTGTGGAGTTCCGAGATGATTCAAATAATTCTTAAAAAATTAATTAGTGGTTATAGATTCATGTATGGTCGTTTTCCGGAAGAAAAACATGTCAAAAATGGTCATTTTGAAAGTTTTTTACAGAAAAAATCTCACTCCTCTTTCAGTTTTTGACATTTCTAGGAGTTCTATAGCTTAAAAAAACCGCAATTATTTTCTCTACATTTTCTATGGATGAATTTTTAATTCGTCTGATAAAACTTTTTTATAATCAAAAAACAACGCAAAAATGCTATTTTGTGC